AACCAGTGGTTTCAACTCTGCTATCCATGGTGTTAAAATTTTTTAATTCCACTTGTTTTTTTTGAACAATGTCCAACCCGCCCAAGGGCTAAATTAGCCCATCACCTTACAAAATTAGTAGGTTTTAACGCTTAATTTTATAATATAACACTTTTAACTCTTTACCTTATAAAATTGGTAAGTTTTAACTTTTTAACCCCTCACCTTATAAAATTGGTAGGTTTTAGTCCATCACTTTATATTATGATACTTTTAACCTTTTATCTGTATGAATTAAAGAAAAGAACTCTTATTTAACATTAAGTTTTAATGTTCTATTAGTTTTGTTAGTTGATTGTCAGTTCTGTTAGCTGACTATTAGCATTCGTTAGCATTCCATAAATGAAACTAACAAATAAAATTGAATTTAAATTTCATATTTTTTTATAACGGAATGCTAACATATATTAACAGTCAACTAACAGAAGTAACAAAATGTTATAATTTGATGTTAAGTGAGGGTTATTTTCTTTAATTCGTATTGGTAATGGGTTAAAAATATCATAATATAAGGTAAAGGGTTAAAATCTACCAATTTTGCAAGGTGATGGGTTAAAACTTACCAACTTTATAAAATAAAAGACTAAAACTATCATGTTATAAGGTGAGGGGTTAAAACCTACTAACTTTGTAAATGAAGGGTTAAATTTTGATTTTTGCCCATCCAAAAGAGAGTGGAACACACTAGGGGTGTTCATATCCGATCCAATCTGATTGATCCGACCTAAACTGATGCAATCCGATTAAAAATCAAACCAAACCGATATAAAATTGGGTTGGTTTGAATTATAAAAATTTAAAACCGATATAATTGGTTTGGTTTGTGATTTTACTTTTAAACTGTCTGAACCGCCCGATTATAAAAAAAAAAATCTGATTATAAGATAACTTAATTAAATAATATAATATTTTTATAATATTTCAAATTTTCTTTTTCTTATTTTACAAAATAATGACTCTGTTGATTTAATTAAAAATAAAAATAGCATATCTTATATTTCTTAATTTATTTTTTCTTTTTCTTTTTTTAAATTATATACATAAATTTTAATTCTAAATTTCAAATTCTCTTACAATTCTACTTTTATAAGTGAGTTGCAACTTTATTCTTAAAACCCTACCTTCTTGAGTGGCGTGCATTTGCCAAGGTTGTTGTCTTCATTTTGCTAGGTTGTCGTCTTCATTTTGTTGGGTTTATTCTTAAACACATAATATGGGTGTCAACACCATGAGTTAATAGTGCAGAATCAAACTTTCTGTTTCTTGTTTTGTGTCGACACATAATTCAGAGTGTCAGTACTATACGTTCAGCGTTCAACATTCAAATTTCTTATTCTGTTTCAAATCCTACTTCTATTCCAATTAGGGTTTTTAAAACTTTATAAATACCATCCAAATTTAGAATTAAGAGAGCTTGGGAGGCTGGTGGCAGCCCTCTTTTGGGTATTCTTGAAGATCAAGATAAAGATTTAAGAATTTGTTTATAATTTCTAAATCTTTTCAATTTTTACAATTGTAAAAAAGTATAAGAATTTTTTTATAATTTGTGTTTTTTTTTTAATTATGTTTCTATTTATTTGGATATTAACGTATTTTATATTTATGTTTTTTACTTAATGTTAAAATTATT